TGGCTGCCCTGGTTTCCAACCACAACCCTCAGATCTCAGCCTCCTGAGATGGAGGGATGAGCCACCAGCACGCAGAATAATCACCTATGTTTAAAATGTTAAAAAAAAAACTTACAAAAAATTTAAAAAGCAACTGTGTTCAAATATATCAGCAATAATTAAAAGATAGACTTTTAGAACATTACTATTATAATAAAAGTTAACATGAATAACAGATGAGTATGAAAGTTATAGGAGGAAAAAGTGCTAACACCTTTTGCAAAACACAAAAGGAAACTAATTGATAGATATACCATGTTCATCAATGTGAATATTTTCAAAAACTTTTCTCAAATCATTTCATTTACTAAGTATAATCCCAGTCAAAATCTCAACTGGGTTTTTGTTGTTATTTGTTTTGTTTTGTTTGTTTTTTAAAGAATTTGTCTACCTGCAAGATCCAGTTAAAGCAAGAAAAGATTGAAATAGCTGGGACAGGATTTGAAAAGATGATAGAGGGATTAATTATAGTAGATAAGAAGATACCATAAAATGCTAATAATTGTATTATCAGGCTTATGGAAAGACCTACAGGCCTGAACCTTGATATCTGATAGATTAAACAATACAAATCAGTTGGGAGAGATAATTATTATTTAATGAATAGTGCTTATCATATAAAAATTGATTAGATCTTTTCCCTTACTACGTAAAGACTAGCTGGATTAAAGATCAAATCAGAAAAACAGTTCCTAAGATATGTAGAAGAAACTATGAGACACTAATAATAGCATCAACTGAAAAGAAACACACTGGATAAACATGATTCCACAAAAAGGTTACATATTTTTACTATAGAAACAACTATAAACAATAATTGGGTGATGTGGCTTATGCCTTCCATCCTAGCCATGTGGGAAAGCACAAATAGAGGATCATAATCCACTGGTGCCTGACCTTAATTTTTTTAATACATAGAATACTGTTGAATATATTTTGGATATCTTCATTTATATTGACTTATATAATAAGGGTTCAGAAATATGCCAAACAAGCAACCAAAAAAAAAGACCAAACCTTCAAATTTGTAATAAATTAAAATTGCACAAGAAAGAAAAATAAATTTTTAATAAGATGAACTACACAGGTAGAAGTTGAACATATTGTAGAATGCTCAATGATCTTCAGTTGTGACACTTATTTCTTAAACATTGGACAACAATGCTAATGATCTCAAGTTGGTATGGATGAGATTATTCTCCATTCTCTCTCTTTTTTGGGGGAGGGGGTGTCCAGTCGTGGGGCCTGAACTCTGGGCCTGGGCGCTGCCCCTCAGCTCTTCAGCTCAAGGCTAGCACTCTACCACTTGAGCCACAGCACCACTTCCAGCTTTTTTCATTTTGCTTATGTGGTGCTGAGGAATCGAACCCAGGGCCCAAGGCATACAAGGCAAGCGCTCTACCACTGAGCCATCTTCCCAGCCCCTCTCCATTCTCTTGTATGTTTGCAATACTTTGTAAGTATTAATAAGTCAAAAGGGAAGGTTGGCTAAATGGTCATATTACATTTCTTTGCCTTGTATTGCAGAGATTCATGGGGACTCTGACCCTACTCTATAGTTCCATTGGCAGGACCTTATGCTGTGAATGGCAAGATTTTTGTTCAGTGATGAACTACTGAGCCCTATATTGTTTCTTTGAAAAAAATGCCTCTGAGTTATGAATGACTTAGTTGGTGCTATGTTAAATTGGGGTTTGTACACCATTGTAAGCATTTTAATATATACCAATAAAGCCATTGACAGGACTGCCAAAGGGACCATGAGCCCATTCAACCTTCAGGCAATGGCTCCATATTAGTAAAGATGCTCTCAAGCTCTCCGAATTGTCATCAGAAAATAAAATACTGCTCAGTACTATTTTATAGCCACTATGATCAATTTCTGGAGAGTTAAGTCAACACTCATTTAAGTTGGATACACTTGAACTCTTTATCTGTCAGTTTTACTGGTACTTTCTTCAGAGTCAGCACTGAGCACCCTCCCTCCCCCCAAAAAAACCCAGTCACCTTCCCCAGATATTCCTTAATAGTAAGATTTCTTGGATACAATCCCAGCTCTGAACATTAAGAAGTGGTCAACTTGCCAGTGTTGATGAAAACTTTCCTTTGGAACTGGACAATCTAACACATTTTCCTTCCGTTGGTCAGGACCGGATTATTTCTAAAATTATTTCCCCTCTTGTTCTTCCATATGTGATCCAACCTCTGTAATAGTGGTTCATAGTAACTGGTCTTTGTCAGCCTGAGAAAATGATCTTGTGACAGGAGAAGGCTTGAAACTGCTCCTAATGAAATGAGCATGACTTAGTTTGCAAAATGAACTCAATTCTTTCTGGCTTGACAGCAGAACTGCCACAGTCAGTTGGCACCTGGATTGAACTCCTCCCGCAGGAAAGAGTAGCTGGATCTCGGAGGTAAGGCAGGCACACTCCCCATTGTCAGTTTTCTGACAGCTTTTCCCGTGGAACAGTTTGAAGAGTGGAGAGCCCTGTTTCTGAGACAGAGAAGTGTTTTCACACCTGAAGTGTAATTTCACACCTTGTGTTTCTCAGCAGATAAGTGCATAAAATAACACATCAAACTGGAATAGAAAAAGATCAACATACAAAGAAAACCACAGGTTGTAATTTGTTTCCTACCTTACAATGCTCTTGGAGGGAACAGTAAATTACAGAGATCTGGCTTTGTACTTAAAAAGTTTGACTGGTGGTTAGGTGGGGAAGTGAGCTGTAAATACTAATCAACTTTCAGCCTCCAGCGAACAGAACATACAGAATGATGGGGAAATATCTTGACATTTAGATGTGTGTGTGTGTGTGTGTGTGTGTGTATGTGTATGTGTGTGTGTGTGTGTGTGTGTGTGTGTGTGTGTGTGTGTGTGTGTGTGTGTGTGTGTGTATGTTCTTATACTGAGGCTTAAACTCAAGCCCTTGGAGCTGTCCCTTAGTTTTTGAGCTCAAGGCTGGCATTTTACCATTTAAGCCACATCTCTGCTTCTGGCATTTTGGTGGTTAATTTGAGATAAGAATGTCACAAACTTTTCTGCTCAGGCTGTTTTTTTTTTTTTTGAATATGTACTATTTAATTGTTATATGTATATAGCCTACCAGAAAGCTTAGCATAGGTCTTCATAAATAATATTTCCTCTGAAACAACACAAGATATAGACATGAGTAAGGAGTTATTAACCCCAGCTTTCTTTCTTTTTATTTTTTTGAAAGTTATGTATCCATCTGTCTATTTTTGCTTTTTGTGCTGATATTGGAGCTTGAACTTAGGGCCTTATACTCTCTCTTAGCTTTTTCTTTTTTGGTTGAGATTAGGTGATTGCATAAATTTCACAGTATTGTGGAGTAGTGATACTTAGTTAAAGTCACAAACACATTTTAACCTTCACAAGGAAAATTGTCATTATCATGGTTTGGGAATTCTATGAGCTTTGAAAATACAATTATTTCTTCTACATCAGGTGATGTGTACCTTTCTTTCTTTTTGCTTAGTGTAGGCTTTTCTCTCTTTCCCTCTCATTCCTCCCTTTCCATCGCTGTCTTTGGGTTGCTTAGTTCATTTTCATCTATGTCCAGTGCAGCTGATGGGCTCCTCTGTTGTTTGTTTTCCCATTTCTCACTGATTCTGTCCTCCTCCTAGCTTCCCTCTATTGCATGCATATATATCATATATGTGGTCAAGAACATGGAGTCGTTTAGCAATGATATGACAAAATGAATGGGCAGTCCTTTGTTTCTGGTTTTAAATCATGATCACCATAATTTAGCCTCCTGAGTAGCTAGGATTACAGGAGTGATCCACAACACCTGGCACATTTAGATTTTTTTAAAGGATAGTACACATCTAAATGAGGACTCAAAATTGCATTTAAAAATTAAAAATGCACAGTCTTCTGATACAAGGGTTATAAAATGAGTTTGTAAGTTTGAAAACTTAAGACCAGAAGAAAAAAAAGAAGAAAGTTGAGTTGCCTGACTAATCTTGTATACTCCTCCCAATAAATATTAAGTGATAGGTGAGTTTTGTGTTGAGGGGACCAGTAATCAAAGCACTCTCTCTCTCTCTACGACTGGAAAGTGGGCAGTCTTTACAGGTGAGTCAGGGAATGCTTTAAGGGTGGTATGTGCTGAAATGATAGAAACCAGGTCATCAAAGATTCCTAGGGAAACTGATGTCCAAACTCAACAGACTAATTAATAGAAGTTATGGGAAGGTGGTTATCTGTTGAGATACCAGGGATTGGGGAGCATGCACAAAAAGGAAAGGTGAAGGAGAAGTGGGAAATCATACATGAGATGGTCCATGGAACGTGTAGGAAGTGAGAGACTTGTTTGAACACTAGTATCAAGCAGTCATCTGATCATGGAAAAGAGAGAAAAGTATTCATGTCTACCTTGTTTTATAAATAAATTGTGGATGAAGATCCATGCATGTCCACAGACACCCTGGCATATAGGCAAATGCGGGTTCTGTGTTCATGCCAGACTGTGAGCTGCATGAAATGCTAACGTAGCAATCCATCCCCTCACCCCCACCCCAGTACCAGGGCGTGAACTCAAGTCTTACTGTCTCTTAGCTTTATTTAATTCAAGGCTAATGCTCTAGCAATTGAGCCACAGCTCCATTTCCAGCTTTTTGGTGATCAACTGGAGGTGAGTCTTACAGATTTTCCAGTCTGGGCTGACTTTGAACCACAGTCCTCAGATATCAGCCTCTTGAGTAGCTAGGATTACAGTCAGGAGCCACTGGTAGCTGGCTTAGTCCCTTCTCTTAAATAGTTCCAGAAAGATGTGTTGGTCCAACAGTACGGACAGAGCTTAAAGACACTGATGAGTATGTTGGAAGGGGAAAGTTGCAGCCCATGTACATAAATAGTACCTCTAAAATAAGAAAACAGAGAGCACTGATGTTTTCTCTCACCTTCCTCTCTCTCTTCTTCTTTCTGTCCATAGATACATATGGAAAACTCTTTCTTCTTAACTCTGTGGGCCAAGAGATGTCCCGCTGCAAGACGTCCATTCGACGTGGTCAGCCCAATCCCGTGTACAAGGAGACCTTTGTTTTCCAGGTGGCCCTCTTCCAGCTTTCTGATGTCACCTTGATGATTTCCATTTATAACAGGCGTGCGATGAAGCGGAAAGAGATGATTGGCTGGGTTGCTCTGGGCCAGAACAGCAGTGGAGAAGAGGAGCAGGATCACTGGGAGGAAATGAAGGAAATCAAAGGCCAGCAGATCTGCAGATGGCATACTTTGCTGGAATCCTAGGTGTGCCAACCAGCATTTGTGTGCTGTGTCTATCTGAATCCCGGGCATGGCTGGCTGCTGACTATGTCTTATATCATGGCAGGCTTCTTGGGCTTTCCAATAAAAACCCTAGGACATTCTGAGTGGGAGCTTTGGGTTTCTCAAGGACTTAATTTGGTTTTACACATTACAATAAAAAAAGAGACACACAGCTGAGTGTACAATATGGGAAATATTACTTTAAATTGAGACTACTGACAATGAGATAATTTGTGCTAATAGATTATTGAGTTTTGGTTCACACTGTGGGATAAAGCTTTCCCTGCTGTCTCTGTTTGCTTGGAGAGTAACCTGTGATTGCAAGGGAGCTGTTAAATGTTACGATTTGCAATCACTTAGGTGTATGAGTCAGAGATGTCTGAGTACAAAAAATACAGAATAGGATCAGATGCTGAGTCTTGTGGAAAGATGTAAATATAATCTATAGTCCTTTACTTCACATTTTTCTCTTTATTCAATTCCGTTTACCTAAAAGTCAATATTGCTGTGTGCCAGTGGCTCACACCTGCATACCTAGATAATCAGGAGGCTAAATTCTTTCTTCTTCCTTTTTTTTTGGTCTAAGACTGGGACTCCAACTTGGTAACTGGTGCTTTCGCTCATTGGCTAGCATTCTACCAAGTGAGCCACATCTCCAATCCCAAGAAGGCTGAGTTCTGAGGATGGCAGTTTGAAAAGGCAGGAAAACCCACAAAACTCATCTCCAATTAATCACATAAAAAGTACAGTTGTGGCTCAAGTGATAGAGTGCGAGCCTTAAGCAAAAGAAGTTAAGGGACAGTGCTAAGACTCTGAGTTCCTACCCTAGTACCTGAACAACAAAAAGTCAATATTATCAATTTGTGCTTCTGAAATAAATTTGTCTCAGATCTATATTATGGTTTCTATGCGACTTGATGAGATGAATCACTTTGGAACTGGAAACAGTTTAAAAACTATCTTTGTAAGACTTGTATCCTTTTGAGATGTAAGATTTCAAACTTGTAACCTTTAAGGTTTTTACACTCTTTCTCAACTAATAAAAAATTTAAAGACTGATAAGAAAGCAAAAAGTAATATATGTAAGTTAATGGATTTATTAATTTTTCTTGCATCTGATATTTTTTTGGGTTACCCTTTTCTAACATTGACAAGATACACTCATGCATATATTTTGAATGTTCTTTTGCATGTAAACCACACCCATTTTGTGCAATCTTTTCTGTCAATTGTTAGAGCATAGTAAATGGCACACAGTAGGTTTTTAATAAATATTGATTTGATTGACTCTTTGAAATGAGTGTGTGAACACCTGTGAGTGAAGAGATAATTTCTGCTCATAGGGAATGACACTTTTTTTTTTTTTAGTATTGCAAGTGCCAGTTGCTGCCGCCGCCATTTTTTATGGCATTTGCAGTGACATATATCAGTCACAACTTGCATTCTGGGCACATGCTACTTATCCAGAACACTGATCTTGTATGATTATGAGCCTAGACTTTTACTTATGAGTGACTTTTACATATTTATGCAGTGCATGTTTATTGTCTTGATTCCTAGATCTGAGCTCTTAATTCCAATTATTTTAAATTAGCAGTCATTAAAAAAGGGTGGTTGGGGGTGGGGGAGGGGATATACATTTAACCCTGTGCCCAGCATTATAGCTTTTTTGAGCAATTACTGAGTTACTTATTTTTAGCTTTTCTATTTCATTGTTGACTTTTTTCCCTGTCTGTGGGAAGAGTGATAGCTTAGTGATAGATGTATACAGTCAGGAACACAGAACAACTCCTTGCCTCTACATTTTGACAGATTGTAAGCGTGGGCTGTAACACTTGAAGAACATATTTATTCCTTGCTGAATGTAATGGTAATCCTGGTAAGTCCAGACTAGAGAGCCTGGGATCCCTCTAATAGGATTTTAGGGTTCAGTTTTTGAAAGAAATGATTTCCTGTGGGAGAATCGGAATTTTCACAATAAAGTAATGTCTTCACTTATTTTCAGGCCCTGGACATTTCCTATAAACTGCTGTTCAGTTATTGGATGAAAACCTATGGAAGAAAACCATGCTCCTTTGGGAGCTTTGCCCTTTCCTTGGGAAAGAGCTCCAAGTGTTCTTCTAGCGTGATACCTATCAACTGCTGAGTGGGCTATGGATTGGCCATGCCATTGAGTAGAACTGAGTGTGATTGATTGAGTAGCAGCACAAAGAATTGACTTTACCCATCCCTTACTCCTCTTTATGCCTTGAGTGTAAAAGGGGGAGTTCAGCGCAGCCTGGTTATGCCTTCCTTTCTGTAGCCGCATAATAGCGGCATTCATTTGAAAATTAACATTTGAAAAAAAATCTGTCTATATTGTACAGACAGCCGTGGGCTTTCCTCCACGTCTTTTCCTGCTCTGTGTGTTGCTCGCAGCCATTGTTTGCTGACACCCAGCCATCACCTGTACTTCCTTTACTGCTTCCTTGACCCAACCCAGTTTTAAGGTTTTCTGTGGGGACCCTGAAGATATCCTAGTGTGCTCCATCCAATAGCCTGTCTGTGAAGCACTTGACAGGAATGTGTACTATTTTAAGGGGAAAGAATGCCTGAAAAGCAATTTTTTATTTGTGTAATTTTCCTGTGCTGTTGCTACTCGCCATATAGAAAGCATGTACATCGCAAATGTACAGTGACAGTTACTCTCCGCTGACTGCATAAACACAAAATTCTAAAGACTGGAAGCATTCACATAGGAAGCTGGCTTTTTTTATATAAAAAGAAAAACCTTGATTTGAATTTCTAGTTTAGCAAGATATTTTGATTTTTTTGTGCACTTAAATTCCCTGATTTTCTTGGCAAAGTCTAGACACAAATGCATCTTGCATGTTTCTCTCCTCCCCCTCCCCGCCCCCCACTGGAGCTTTTACATCTCCATTTGCTTTTCAAAAGAGTTATGAAAGAGAATGAATTAGTTCTTGCAATGTGAGAGCTGCTTTTGCCTGTTTCTTGTCGCTAATGGTTAAAAGCTCATGGGGTGTTTGACATGGAAGCAGTGCTGGTTGCATGGCAAGTGCTTGTTTCGATTATTTTTTTTTCCTGAAAAGCATGATTCTTTAAATAAGATTGAAAGTAAACAATGCAGTAGGTTTATGGAAACCTGCTTCATTCTGTGCCTTCTTTCAGGGGCTGGGTTTACACTGAATGGAGAAGAGCTGGTTTCACCAGCCATGGCAGTGGCCGTTGTACTACATGCTCCCCTCTCACCGTTGTTGAATGTTTAAATGGGCCTTTCACCACACAGCTGAACACCTGCTCTCCGTCCCCTCTCCTTCCCTGGCTCCCTGTGTGAGGCATGCTTGTTTGGGATGCTGGTTTTGCTGATGCTACAAAACTATGGGGAAAGGGAAGGGGGTGGGAAGGGTTCTAATTTCTCAAACAGAAGAAGAATTTGTAATGCCTTTGGATGTCTTGTGCTCACGATTCCACCTCCACAAAGCCTGAGAGAGAACCATCCCCGTGTTTGCAAAGGGAAACGAGTGTGGAGTATTGCATCATCATTCACATTAGACACAGCACACTAACTCTGACGTCTTTCAAGGACAGTTCGGGATTGGATCTCATAGGGTGATATTCCCCAAAGTGCTAGATGCCACAATAAGCCTGAAACACACCTCTACCTTTTCCAAGAGGTACATCTCCCAGTATTTTATTATCATTGTTACCTCTTAGTCAATTTGTACTGTGGCCATACTAGATGGACCTTCTCAGAGAGCCAAAACCTCTTTGCTTTCCAAGTGAAGCTTTACTTAGGCCTCATAGCCACTAAATGGATCTTTCACCGCAGATGTTGAACTGTGAGTTCCCCTAGAGCTGGTGATTCCTGTGCAGTAGAAGACTTAGTGAAAATCAAGTACATGGGAATTTTTTGTAAATGACATGAACATACATACACACAGACACACACACACACACACATTCTTTACCAATAAAGAAACAACTGAGCCAGGCACTCATGGATCATGCCTGTAATCCTAGCTACTCAGGAGGCTGAGATCTGAGGATCATGGTTCAAAGCCAGCCCAAGCAGGAAAGTCCAAAAGACTCATCCCCAATAAACCACAGAAAATCTGAAGAGGTGATGTGGCTCAACTGGTAGAGTGCTAGCTTTGAATACAAAGAGGCTCAGGGACAGTGCCCAGGCCCTGAGTTCAAGCCTCAGGATGGGCAAAAGAAAAAAAAGAAGAAAAGAAAGAGAAACTGATAACACAGTGGTACACTGTGTTAGTTTTGATGAAACTGTTGTAGGGAACATTCCATTCTTTTTGATGCAAGACAAACAATATATCTAAACAATAGTCAATTGCTTAAGTAAAACTATAAAAAAATAAAACAAACACATGTATGGAAGAATTTAATCAATGTGCTGGTTATGTTTAGCATCTCCTGGCAAATATTCAAAAGAAGAGCCAATTAACAGGCAGAAAAACAGATAAGAATAGCCAGCAGTCAACAACTTGTAGAATTCTGGGGGAAATGGAAATCTTCCTGTGAAGGAAGATTTAAACTGGAGTTTAAGCCTGGATTTAGATGGATTTCTGCTAACCTTATGGCCTGAAGAAAATTAGTGTCCCAGTGTCCTTAACTGCAAAGTAGAAATAAATCCTACCTCATAAATATTTTGAAGAGTTGTCAACGAAATCACACTTACCATGTGCCCAACATAAAGCCTGATGTGTAGTTAGAATATGATATTTGCTCCTCATGATCATGCTTGACAAAGAAGTGTTGTTTAAGACATCTTTCTTTTTCTAGGGAAGACTATAACGCTAGAGAAAAATGAAAAACAGTTTTTAGATGCTTTACAAAGGATAGGTTTATGATGGTGATCAGTAGCTCATGCCTGTCATCCTAGCTAGCTATTAAGGTGCTAAGATATGAAGAATCATGATTCAAAGCCAGCCAATGCACAACAAAGTTCATTAAACAATATCTCTAATGAACCAGCAAAATGCTGGGCTGGAGGTGTGACTCAAGTAGTAGGATACATCTGTGAACAAGAAAGCTGAGCAAAAGTATGAGGCCCGATTTCAAGCCCTGGTACTGCCCTCCTCAAAAGGATATGATCACTGGGTGCTGGTGGCTCACGTCTGTAATCCTAGCTACTCAGGAGGCTGGAATTTGAGGATCACAGTTCAAAGCCAGCCCAAGCAGGAAAGTCCATGCGACTCTTATCTCCAATAAACCACTCAGAAAACTGGAAGTGGCTTGTGGCTCAAATGGTAGAGTGCGAGACTTGAGCTGAAGAGCTGAGGGTAGGTGCCCAGGCCCAGAGTTCAAGCCCCACGACTGACAAAAAAGAAAAGACATGATCATGAAATAAGCTGAATTTGCACAGAAAACTGGTTTATCCATTGATTAAGTCTGTACATACTTAGAAGAAATTGAATTATAATAGATTCTAGTTGAGATCCAACCAAATCTTTGTCTTGTATCCTCTGAGTTGGAAGAGGTGTAAAGTCTTCACA